TCTAAGCTGTTGGGGATTCCCACTGAGGTCTCTGATGTCTAAACCCCAAGCTGGGCTACACAGCCCAGAGCACCAGAACTGAGAAAGGTATCCACATAACATATGGCTGTGAAAAGCAGCAGGGTTTCTGTCTGCCAGGGAGAGATGGCTGGAAATGCAGGCATTCTCTTAAAGGGCCAATGCACAGCCTTTGTGCAGCCTCTCACCTTGGGCTCCATCGATGGGAGAGCAGAGTGAACTAGAGCTGTGTAAGGAGAATCCAGGGCAGTTGGCTGGGGTAATAGAGCTCACAAAGGGCACCCATCTGGACCCCGGTTCTGAGTCATTCTTCAATATGGCAGAAGAGATCTTTCTCAGGCAGACATTTACCTTCTAAACAGCTTTTGTGGGAGGGGGGGCAATTGCCCCACCCTGCTGGAAAACCTCTAGCCCCACCTTGGAGTTTCTATAGCCTGAGGCTCCTTAAGAGACTGATAACAATCAGCCACCCCACCCTGAGGTGTTTCTACCACCTGAGGCTCACTAAGAGACTGAATAGCAATCAGCCTCTGGGTGCTTTGAGTCTTCCATATTTGCTTCTGGACTTAGGGCTTGGAAAAGCACACCCTGGTGCATATCTTGATCCTATCCAAACACACCCAGCCCCTGCAGAGGAAACCACAAGGTGTGGAGTGTGGAAAACTTCAAACAGGGTACTCAAGGCCAGTCACAAACAGCATCTGGCATTGGCCTGCACCAAAGACCATCCAAAAGACTGGGAGTCCTAGCAGATCTACCTAATATATAGAAACAAATCCAAACAGGCAGCCAAAATGGGAAGACAAAAAACAAATGAAAGAATAAAAGAATTCTCCAGAAGAAATGCTAAAGAAAATAGAGCTAAGCAATCTATCAGGTATAGAGTTCAGAATACTGATCATAAAGATGCTTTACAGCATGAAAAAAGATATGGAAACCATGAAGAAAATTAAAAATGAAATAGTGAAAATAAAAAACCATTGGAAGGAATGAACAGCAGATTAGGGGAAGCTGAGGATCAGATCAGCAAATCAGAAGACAGGGTATAAAAAAAATCACTCAGTCACAGATCCGAAAAGAAAAAACAATTAAAAAACAAGAGGTCAGTCTAAGGGAGCTGTGGGACAACATAAAATGTAACTATATTCTCGTCACTGGAGTGCCAAAGGAGGTCAAAAGTAAGCAAGGGTTAGAGAACCTGTTTGAAGAAATAATGGCAGAAAACTTCCCTAACCTGGTCAAGGAAAAAGTCATACAAGTTCAGGAGTCACAGGGAGTCCCAAGAAAGAAGAACCCAAGAGGCTCACACCCAGACACATCATAATTAAAATGCCAAAAATTCAAGACAAAGAAAAAATCTTAAAGGCAGCAAGAGAAAAGCAATCTGTTACTTATAAAGGAGTTCCCATAAGGCTGTCTGCTGATTTCTTATTAGAAACTTGACAGGCCAGAAGGGAATGGCATGAAGTATTCACGGTAATGAAAAGCAAGGATCTGAAATCAAGCATACTCTATCCAGCAAAGCTATCATTCAAAATAGATGGTGAAATAAAGAGCTTCCCAGGTAAAAAAAGGCTGAAGGAATTTATCATCACCAAACCAGCATTGCAAGAAATGTTAAAGGGGCTGTTGTAATAAGAAGTTGAAATAGAATGAGACACATAGGCACAAAGAAATAAAATGGCAATAGATAAGTAACTATTAATAATAACCTTAAATATAAATGGATTAAATGTCCCAATCAAAAGAAATAAGGTAGCTGAATGGATAAGAAAACAAGACTCAAATATATGCTGTCTACAAGAAACCCACCTCAGAACAAAAGACCCACACAGGCTGGGGGGAAAAATAACTTCTGGAGGACTTTAAAGGAGAGATAGACTGTGATACAGTCATAGTAGGGGATGTTCACACCCCACTGATTTTACTGGATAGATCTTCCAGACAAAAAAATCAACAAGGAAGCAGTGACTCTAAATGACACACTAGATCAGATGGATTTAACTGACATTCACAGAACATTCCACTCCAAAGCTGCAGAATAGGCATTCTGCTCAAGTGCACATGGAACATTCTCAAACAGAGACCACATATTAGGAAACAAAATGATTCTCTACAAGTGATCTTACTCACATGTGGAATCTAATGAAGAAAATAAGCTGATGAGCAAAACAGATACAGAGATAAAGAAGCATGGAACAGACTGACAAATTTCAGAGGGAAAGTGGGGGTGTGTGGGGAGAGATTAACATAAGAATTTATATCCATATATGCATAACCCATGGACACAGACAATAGTGGGGTGAAGGCCTGGGGGGAAGGTTACGGGAGAGAGGATCAATGGGGGAAAAAAGGAGACATTTGTAATACTTTCAACAATAAAGATAAAGTTAAAAAAATCAGCAAACACCACATCCAATAAATTAACAAACAAATGTTGGTAAGGATGTAGAGAAAAGGGAACCTTGTAAAGTGTTGGTAGGAATGCAGATTTGTGCATCCACTATGGAAAACAGTATGGAGGGTCCTCAAAAAATTAAAAATGAAACTGCCTTATGACCCCACAATTCCATTTCTGAGTCTATATCTGGAAAAAAACCAAAAAGCTAATTTGAAAGAATATATGCACCCTTATGTTGTTTACAATAGCCAAGATATGGAAACAGCTGAGGCACTATTCAATAAACAAGTGGATAAAAAAGTGACAGTACATATATACAAGAGATTGCTCAGCCTTTAAAAAGAATGAAACCTTACTATTTCTGACAGTATGGATGAACCTAGAGGGTGTTATGCTAATTGAAATAAGTCAGACAGAGAAAAACAAACACCATATGATTTCATTTATGTGTGAAATCTAAAGAAGAAAACAGAAAATAGATGAACAAGACAGAAACAGACTCATAAATACAGAGAACAGACTGATGGTTGCCAGAGGGGAGAGGAATTAGGGGCTGGGTGAAAAAGGTGAAGGGATTACATTTTTTATGTGTTTATTAATTTCAGAGAGAGGAAGGAAGAGGGAGAAAGAGAGATAGAAGTATCAATGATGAGAGAGTCATTGATCAGCTGCCTCCTGCACGCCCCCTACTAGGGACTGAGCCCACAATTTGGGCATGTGCCCTGACTGGGAATCGAATGGTGACCTCCTGGTTCACAGGTCAACACTCAATCACTGAGCCATGTCAACAGGGCTTCAATTACTTTTAACACATCTTTCATTATAGAGATCCCAATTTTTTATAATATTACTTATCAGGCTTAACTCTTAATCAACAAAAGGTGTACATAGTAAATGGATCACAAACATGAGTGAAAAAACTTATAAAATGTTTGCAAATATATCATCTTAAGGTCAATGATATATAAATTAAATCAAGATACCACATTTTAGGATCAGTTTAGTAAACATTAAATAATACTCCTACCCCTGTGGGAAGCTTACAATATGGGAAAAAAACTCTTGTTGTAAGAAAATAATACAATTTTCTGGTGGGGGAAATTTTGCATTAACCATCAAAAGCTTTAAAAAATACGTTCAAATTTTGATTTAGCAATTCCATCTATATAAATTTTTCTCAAGAAAATAGACAAGTGTGCCAAACTTAAAGAGATATTCTTGAGAACCCTGTTTACAATTAAGAAAACTAGAAACAGCCCTAGCTGGGTTGGTTAGTTGGTTGGACCATCATCCCATACACCGTCAGGACCCATACCTAGGTTGTGGTTTCAATCCCCAATCAGGCACGTAGGGAAAACAACTGATCTGTGTGTTTCACTCACATTGATGTTTTCTCTCTGTCTCTGCCTCTCTCACACTCACTCACTCTTTGTAAAAATCAATAAAAACATAACCTTGGATGAGGATTAAATAAAAAATTAAAAAGAAAATAAAGGAAACCATAAAAATGCTAAAAGAAAGTAGAGGAATGGGTACCTCAGACAAAGGAATATTTTATAGCCATGAAACTTCTATTTTCAAAATGACATAACGTTCTAAAATTTAGTCTAAGTAAGCCAACAAAATACAAAACTATATATAACATGCTCTAAATTATATTTTTTAAAACCACAGAAACAAAGACTGAAAGCAAACAAACTGAAATTTCCACAGTGGTCACTTCTGGTTAGTGGAGTAAGGTGACTATGATTTCTTTCAAATATTCTATAATAACCACATAGTATTCTTATAACCAGAGAAAAAGTTTAATTGGAAAAAAAATACTAGTGTTCCATTAAAGCAATGAGTGACTAGATTCATAGCTCTAATTACTTTTCAGTCCTTTCCCAAAATTCTAAGTTGATCAATAGCTAAAAAGTACTAAAAAGGCCAAAAAACACTGCCAAGAACACCCTCCCCCTCTAAAAACAACAAAACAAAACAAAAAAATTCCCATCAAAACCCAACATGTCATGAAAAAAGCCACAAAAAAGATCTGCTAAGTTTTAAATAACTTTCATTATATCTTAATTTTTTCAGAACAAGACTTTTAAAAATATAGGTCTATGAATTAAAGGCAATAAACCTTTAAAATTAAGCAATAAAATGCTGATTTAAAAATGAAAACCAGAGACAAGGAATTTAAAAATAAACACCTGTTAAGCAAAAACTGAAATTTCAAGTTACATAATTATAAATCAAATAAAATTCAATTACTACATAATATTACTTTATATACCCCTTTAGTTCAACCCATCTTTTTATTCTATGATTTTTACATTAAAATAGACACTAGTAAACAAGGGCAGTGGTAGTGGTTATGGAGTTTTTCAATGAAAACACTTTAGATGTAAACCACAATTAGTAAAATAGATTAAATTTCTGAAAGTTCAGAAACCAAATAAATTGCACAGTTTTATTCAGCAAAATATTCTATTAACCTGAAAGCCAGGAAGAAGAACGTATTTCACATAGAATATAAGTGAGATAGATAACAGCCGAAAGTTTATTTACTTGGGGTAGAAGATCACTCACAGCTTACCAGGACTATGATGAGTTGCAAATCCTCCGTTCTGAAATTCATCTCCTGTCACATTCATTCTACCAGGATTAAAAGGTCCTACTCCAGTCTTGGTCTGTGAAGTTAAAGATGGGGTGTATGTTTGTATGTTAACACCAAAACTACTTGGCTGAAGTCCTTTAGCGACATCTCCCAAGTTGGTATTCTATAGTGATGTTACAAGTGTAATCATTAAGTTCATATCTCGCCCAGCATTCACAGAGCTTACACCTGTTTCTAAGGTTGTAACATTAGCAATCTGAATTTCAGAGTCGATTCTGTAGTGATAACACTATTACCCATTCCTACATTTACCTTTCTTCTTGAAAGACTGGAAGTGGAGAAATCCACATCTTTGGTTCTGTTTTTAGTTCCTGGAAGTCCCCATTCAATAAAACTGAAAGAATTTTTCTTTTTCCCTCCATTTGTTTCTATGTCCTCTTCATCATCAATAACAATAGTCTCACTTATATTTCCCTTCTGAGAAACCAAATCTCTTGAGGAAGGAATTATGGAATCATTTCCTTGTAGCTTTTCATTTCTTGATGAAGCAAATATAAAATTTCTTTGATCAGCTATTATTGAAGAAGTTGAAGGAGGTTGTATAGATTCAATAAACACAACATCATCATCATCATCATCATCTTCCACCAATGAGTTTCTATATCTATTAACTAAAGGACTAACTGGATGATCAAGTGAATTTCCTACATCTGTGAGACTAGCTGCCATGGCTTTACTCCCTAATAACACAGGAGTCTGTTCAGTCAAGTCTAATCCTCCCACTGAACCTGTGTCCATGCCAAAGAACCTGTAAGAGACAGAGAATGGGGTGGGGGTGGGGGGAGTTAGAGTATGATTATTGCAAGAACTAGCACAAATGAAATTTTAAATTCTATTCTTTGTGATTTTTATCTAACATTTAGGGAAAACACTGTCACCCATTCTGTTTTTCCTCTCCCATTAACCATATAATGCTTACTTCTTAAGAATTAGATTAAAATTAATTATCCAATTTTTGGTAGTCCTTAAAAAAATTACTCCACTAACAGTAAAGTCCTCATTTACACCATCAATAGGTTCTGCGACTTTAAGGGAAACATTTAAGGAAATCAACTTTACCATAGGCTAACTGATATAAACACGAACTAAGTTCCTACAGCATCTCATCAACATTATAATAAAACATTTTTGAGTACCAGTTATACTCAATTTGACTTACTCCCCCTTTAGAAGGAAAAAATACTTGTCTTCCTTTAAAATAGAATAAAAAAATAATTTATCAAGTACTAATAATCCAGAATCCAAATATAATCAATATGCTACATGTACTTCTATCTACTAAAATGAATGGTATTGCCCAATCCCTATTTCTCTAGTCTTTTGTAATCTTTTTTCAAATTCTCTACTTCAAACATAACTCTATGATTAAATCTTTCCGAATCATTTTTGTCCTCGTCCTGGAATTGTAAGACATTATGCTGTGTTTTCTATGTAAAAGTCTAAAAACAACCCTATGACACAGGCATAATTTAATACATTTTGCATATCAGGAAAGAGATGCTAACTAAATTGTTCTAGGTAAGCCCAAATAGAACTTAAACTCAGGGTTCTAATTCTAGGGTCCAAATTCTTAATCACTCTGTTATATTCAACAAACATTTCTTTGTACCTCAGTATGACAACTGGGTATGACAAAGGAAAGGATCCAACAGAGGGACACAGTTGAAGAATCTGGAGAAGTGAATTATCAATAAAGTGAGGCTGATGAGGATACAGCTGAGATGAGGACATGTGCACAAGTGGCGGTGAAATTGATCTTTTTAAATAAATATTTTATATTTTAATAAACATTTTATGTTTTTATTGCTTTTAGAGGAGGAAGGGAGAGGAACAGAGAGGTAGAAACATCGATGAGAAAGAAACATCAATCAGCTGCCTCCTGCACACCCCCTACCGGGGATCAAGACCGAAACCCAAGCACGTGCCCTGACCAGGAATTGAACCAGTGACCTCCTGGTTCAGGGGTCAACGTTCAACCACTGAGTCACACTAGCCAGGCATGACCTTGAAGAGATATCACAACTATCTCCAAAGCCAGAGGGAAAAAGTAGGCATAACTGGAATGTACGTAAGTATGGAGAAATGATAGGTGGAAAGCAGAGGTAAGTTTATCGATGCTGGCCTGAATTTTCTTAGCTAGTAACTCGAGACTAAAGGAGGTGGAAACTGTATGGGTGTCAGATATTTTAATAAAAAACTCACTTCATTCCATTTTAAACACCTCATATTGAACTATGCTAAGTAACATTTCTATCCTATAATTTTCCAAAGTAATGTAATTGATAATAGTTACAGTCATATAATAGGTGTTATGTCAATAATATATTAATTTAGTTAATGCTTACATGAGGTAGGAACTATTTTTCCAACTTTATCCATTAGCAAACTAAGACTCAGAAAATAAGGACTCTGCCTCGCCTGCCCAAGTCTCCACTGCTGGGAAGGATAGAGTCAGGATTCAAATCCAAGAAATCTGACTCCAGAATCTATCTTATAACTACTACGTTACATGAAATTAATGTATAAAACAATTTTAAAAAATCACTCATCTTTAATTACAATAAGCAAGTTCATTAAAACAAAATCAACATTCAAATAAGTCAATTTAAAAGATGCAGAAATAATGAATCTAAGGAACCAGTATAAAAGGGTTACAAAATAAACACAAAAGTTGGGATCGTGGCGAACACTCCTTCAGTAAACTTAGTATGTGGTTGATTTTCAAAAGCAAGAGACAATAATTTAGCCTTAACTGAGTTATGAAATATAAGAACTGTTATATACGAACTCTGTCCTTTCTATATTTGAATGCAAAACAAAACAGAACAATTTCTGGAAAAGAGCTATAGCTGACTACACAGTAGACTCTTGTGGCCGCTATGTCCTAGGTCCTGTCTCAATCTTTTCAAAAGAAAATAATACAAAGGGCATTTTTTCTTTATGCTCAGCTCACTGCAGTCACCTACCTCTGAAAAAAGTTTAAGTATTCACCTATTTTCGAAATCCCAGATTATAAAAAAGTTAACCACGACTAAAAGCCATTGTGCATTTAATTTAACCATCTAACACTTTCTTAATTCCATAAACACAAGACTAAAGAAAAGTTTCTACTATTTCTATAACATTATTCAAAAACAGAGAAAACGTTATGGTTTTCCTTATTAGCTATGTGTCACTGAGCAAATTACTTCACTTCAATGAATTTTACTTTTCTAAACTGTAAACTGTAAATGGGGATAATATATGACTCCGTGGTTTTTATTCAGATAACTGAACATTCAATTCCCTAGTGTCTACCTGGACTATACTAAAGGGTGCAAACAATGTTAAATCCCTATGTCATGATAGAGTATTTAGGCAACTCCTTGGCCTATATCCTAGGATATCAACAACAGTCTAATCAATCTTAAACATTTATCTAGTCTTGTGGTATCTCATTCATTTACAAATTATAACTATTTAATGTTTAACTGATTTTAATTTTGTATGATAAAATGAAAATTAACGTAAAATAAAATAATGTAAAATCAAATGAAAATCTGCACAGAGAAGACTGATACAAAATTACATTACCACTATACAAAAAGCTTGGCTGGGGATTTTCCAAGATGACAGCGGATTGAGTGGTGGCTACACTGACACTCTCTCAGGATCAAACTGGAATGACAGCTAAAATATAGAAAACCCATCCTGAATAATCAACCGGAACTGAAGACTAGCTGCAGAGCACCCTCATAACCAAGGACAAAAAGTGGAGACCACATAAAGGCTGGTAGGAAGTGTGGAGGAGCACATGGGCTGGCTGGGCTCATAGGCAGCAGGAGGGATAGTTCAGCTGTAGGGGGTTCCCGCTGAGGACTCTGAGGTATAAACCCCAAGCTGGGCTTCCCAGCCCAGAGCACCAGAACTGAGAAAGGTGCCCGCATAACATCTGGCTGTGAAAAACAGCAGGGTTTCTGTCTGCCAGGGAGAGACAGCTGGAAATGCAGGCACCCTCTTAAAGGGCCAATGCACAGTTTCCTGTGTAGCCAACCACCTTGGACTCTAGGATAGGGAAGGCAGAGTGGACTAGAACTGTGTGAGAATCCAGGGTGGCTGGCTGGGGGAATAGAGCTCAGAGGACAGCCATTTGGATGCCTGTGTTGAGTCATTCCCCACACAGAAAAAGACATCTTTCTCAGGCAGACATTTACCTTCCAAGCAGCTTTTGCCTTGGCAGGAAGCAACTGCCCCACCCTACTGGAAAACCTCTGTCTGCACCTTGTGGAGTGTCTATAGCCTGAGGCTCATTAAGAGGCTGAATAACAGCCTCTGGGTGCTTTGAGTCTTTGCTTGATTTGAGTCTGGACCCAGGGGCTCGGAAAAGCAGACCCTGGTGCACATCTTGGTCCTGTCCACACACACCCAGCCCCAGCAGAGGGAACCACAAAGTGTGGAGTGTGGAAAACTTCAAACAGGGTACTCAAGGCCAGTCACAAACAGTGTCTGGCATTGGCCTGCACCAGAGACCATCCAAAAGACTGGGAGTCCTAACAGATCTACCTAAAACATAGAAACAAATCCAAACAGGCAGCCAAAATTGGGAGACAAAAAACAAGCCCGAAGTGAAAGAACAAAAGATTCCTCCAGAACAAGAGCTATATGAAATGGAGATAAGCAATCTATTAGATATAGAGTTCGGAGTACTGATCATAAGGCTGCTCAACAGTATGAGAAGAGATATGGAAACTATGAAAAGAATTAAGAATGACACAGTAGAAATAAAAAATACATTGGAAGAAATGAACAGCAGATTAGCAGAAGCTGAGGATCTGATCAGGCAATTAGAAGACGGTAGAAAAAAAATTAATCAGAAAAACAAAAAACAATTAAAAAATAGGAGGACCGTTTAAGGGAGCTTTGGGACAACATGAAATGTAACAATAATAAGTGTGCCAGAAGATGTAGCAAGCAAGCAAGGATTATAGAACCTGTTTGAAAAAATAATGACAGAAAACTTCCCAAACTTAGTCAAGTAAAAAGTCACACAAGTTCAGGAGGCAAAAAGAACCCAAAGAGGCCCACACACAGACACATCATAACGAAAATGCCAAAAATTCGAGACAAAAAGAGAATCTTAAAGGCAGCAAGAAAAAAGCAATGTTTCCTACAAAGGAGCTCCCATAAGTCTGTCAGCTGATTTCTCATCAGAAATTCTACAGGCTAGAAGGGAATGGCATGAAGTATTCAAGGTAATGCAGAACAAGGATCTGAAACCAAGCATACTCTATCCAGCAAGGCTATCATTCAAAACAGATGGTGAAATAAAGAGCTTTCCAGATAAAAAAGGCTAAAGGAATTTATTACCACAAAACTAGCATTGCAAGAAATGTTAAAGGGACTGCTGTAATAAGAAGTGGGAATAGAACAAGAAACAGAGACATAAAGAAATAAAATGGCAATAGATAAGTATCTATTAATAACAACTTAAATATAAATGGATTAAACACTCCAATCAAAGGACATATGGTAGCTGAATGGGTAAGAAAACAAGACCCAAATATATACTGTCTACAAGAGACCCACCTCAGAACAAAGGACTCCCACAGGCTGAAGTGAAAAATAAAACTTCTGGACATAGTATGGGATGTTCACACCCCAATGACTTTACTGGATAGATCTTCCAGACCAAAAAATCAACAAGGAAACAGTGACTCTAAATGACACACTAGATCAGATGGATTTAAGTGACATTCACAGAACATTATATTCCAAAGCTGCAGAATACATATTCTCCTCAAGTGCACATGGTATATTCTCAAAGATATGTTAGGACACATGTCAGGACGCAAAACAAGTCTCTACAAGTTCAAGAAGACTGAAATCATATCAAGTATCTTCTTGTACATTTACACAATGGAACACTATACAGCTGTAAAAAAGAAAGATCCCTTGCCCTATGGAACAGCATGGTGGGACCTGAAGAGTATTATGCTAAGCAAAATAAGTCAGTCAGAGAAAGACAAGTGTCACATGATCTTACTCATATATGGAATCTAATGAGAAAATAAACTTATAAACAAAATAGATCAAGATACAGAAGCATGGGACAGATGGATGAATCTGAGGGAAGGCAGGGATGGATGGCTGGGTAGAGATTAACCTAAGAATTTATATGCATATATGCATAACCCATTGACACAGATAACAGTGAGGTGAAGGCCTGGGGGGAGGGGTACGGTGGGAGGAGATCAATTGAGGGATAAGAGGGACATATGTAGTACTTTCAGCAAGAAAGGTTAAAAAAAAAAAAAAAGGCTGAAACCAAAGCAGGACTCAAATGTAAACTGTCTCTAGGTAATGGATAATGACCTTGCAAAGTTAACAGGGTGTTTACTTAGGGGGTAAAGATAAGAGCTAACACTAAAACAAGCATATATATGAGGGTACTTTGCCCGATTATACTGAGTTACCTTAAGTAACATCTCATCTCACTGTTGTTTTAATAGGCACACCTTGGAAAAATTGGAGGTTCAGTTCCACACCACTGCAATGAAGTGAATATTGCAATAAAGGGTGATACACATTTTTTGGTTTCCCAGTGCAAATAAAAGTTATGTTTACATTCTACAGTAGTCTATTAAGTATGAAATAGCATTAAGTCTAAAAAAGTGTACATAACATTATATGTATATAAATAAAACATAAAACTTGCCATTTTAATCTTTTTTTTTTAAGTTAAAAAATATATGTCTTTATTGATTTCAGAGAGAGGAAGGGAGAGGAGAGAGAGAAAAACATCAATGATTAGAGTCATCGATTGGCTGCCTCCTGCA